CATTCAGATCACAGTATCATTTCACTTAGACAATTAAAGGTGATTTAACTAAGATTTGTTTGATAAATCAAGTGAAAGTGGGAAAGGACTTGATGTCTCTCAGCTATACAACCCCCCTCCATAACATCCTGCTGCTTACAGCCCTTCTGTTGTTATTCCATCTTCTCTACCCTCTGATTTGATAGTTTGCCCAGACCACTGACATATACTGTATACAATGGACATGGTGTCACCATTTCCATCCACTATGCAAACATGAAGCCAAAATGCGTATCATGAATATGGTTGCTGCTGTCTTGCTTTTTTGCAACCACATTAATTGCAGTAATGACCAGAAGTGGAGTGACAGCATCAGACTACCAATCAAAGCTGCCAAATAACAAAAATGCACCTCATTTTATATCATCAAATCACTTATTAAACAAACTTACCAGAAAAATGGCCACTTATACACACGTCAGTATGTTAATATCTACCAGTAAACACAAGACTGACCTTTGGGGAAAATTTATTTAATTTGTGCTTTTATTGTGGCTCATGTTCCATCTGCTAACACGGACGAGGTGGGATTTATGATCTGTACTGCAATGAGCCACCAGGGGGTGATCAGGTTTTTGTGGCTTCACTTCTTGGAGCTCTTAGACTGTCCATGGGTTTTACAGTCGATGGTCCAGATATTGGCACTACCTGCCTCCCAGAGAAGGTTATAAGAGGCGTTTTTTTGAACTGTGAGTAGTCACCTGCCTCCCAGAGAAGGTTATAAGAGGCGTTTTTTGAACTGTGAGTAGTCATTTCAAACAGCCAGCCATGGAGGAGGTCTCAGCAACTAAAAGTTCAAAACAGTGGCTACCAAATGAAGAAGCTGCATTTTGGGACAGTGGGACAAAGAAAAAGCAAAAACCAGGGTTAAGACTGGTTTGGACCTTGTGACAGAGAGTGTAGAAAGCAACCAGAGAACTCAAATTTGGTTCAGATGTGTTGTTCGTATTTCTGAATGTGTTAACATCTAAAGCTAACACAGCTAGCACACTTGTTTTGGTAACATTAACATGGTTATGATTTTACTTTTGGTATGAATTTACTTTAGGGAGAAATTCGAGCTTTGTGTAATGTTAGTGCTTTGCTAGCCCTTATTGTTCCATCACTGTCAACCTTGTCACTTGGCATGCTGTAGTGCCTAGAGCTGGGGCTCATTAGTCTGCTAATGGTAGCTTTGAACTGGTGGCTACATGCATTTTTGATAGGAAACAGGATGTGTCAGTTTGTTTTGAGTCTCTCTAGACCTTGTAACAGCTGAAAATATGTAATTATTTAATGCACCTTTGATGAAAAACTTCAAATAGTAACAGAATGAGGAAAAACACTGCAACTGGCTGCCAATATAAAACCAACTGCTACTGGAGAACGGAGTTGAAGTAAGTAATGTCATTACAATGTATTGTCACTACTCAGCAACACTAAAGATGACATAGCCTCCAAAATGAGCATCAAATTGATAACTGAAGGTTTTTAGACTCCACTGGGAGCTGGAGCAGCGAGGCAGGAGCCGCACTATAATATGCTGTCTGTTTTTCTTTTTTGATCTTGTTAAAAGTCTTGCTGCAGCAGTCTCAACTAATTGGAGACTGGATGAAAATAGGTCTGAATGATACCAAACCTCAAACCTTGCAGTAATGAGGCTAGCGGATGTGAAGGTGTGGACAGCTTTCACAAGATCCCATACACGCAGCATACTTCTGAGATTTCCAAGCTGATTGAAACTGAATTTAATAATCTGATTCCTTTTTTAAAAATTTAACTTCTATGCTGAATCAAATTTTTACACAACTTGCCTGTTTAAATTATACTGGGGTTAAATGTTATGCATTAATTAAGGGTGTGGCCACTTTGAAGGGAGGGTCCTGCCACAGGTGACTGGCCGCTAGCTGTCTAGAGAGCACCATTCATGCACCACATCTTTGCCAATTTTTGGATTAGCCGCGTTTTGGCATAGTGAAGCACTGCCAATATGGCAATGGTCAGGCTTGAACGTCAAAACCACTCCTCAGAAAACCAGTGGGTGATGTCACAGTGGGCTTGTCAATCTTTTATATACAATTCATGATATGAACTGCATTTGCCCTAGGTGCTGGCATTATGCCTGCAGGAAAACAGAGATATCAGGAAGATGGCGCCAACGATGGCAGCCTTGGTTACTTGCGCTTTCTTGTGTTTGTTGCTTTTCTTTGTTTTCTCTGTCTTTTTAAACCCATCCCAGATTACTTTTGTTGGGACCCGGTACTTTTCACCACGCTAACTCTGAGAGACGAAGCAGTCCAAGTAACTTCAAAACAGTGCTGATTTATTCAATGAACACAGGTAAAAATCAACATTACATGCTCAGGTATCTTGCACCTCCAACATGCACGCAGGCAGCTGAAAGATGAAAGACCCCGAACCACAACAGGCCTATACATTATATCACTTCGGGCTAACCCCATTCTACACAGAGAGACGCCAAACCGTGACGTCTCCCGGTGCCAGCTTTGCAGCTGGCCAGAGCAATAGTCAAAGCATGAAGAAAAATCAATGTGTGATTGTCTGTTGATTATGTGGTGTGTAGCTAAAACATTCTAACACGACCTCTAGTGACATGTCATGACATTAAACATAAGAAAATATTATGGCTATGGCTACAGTTATACACGTCAGAATAATAACATTAAACATCCTGTCCTCTAACAGTCATCAACTTTCTATCTAGTTATCCTTGACCATAAGCAACCTACAGTAACTCATGAGCATGACTAAGCATTTAACAGCCTGAGCTAGACATCCTGTCTACACTAAACATTTCTAATACATCAAGTATCTAACCAATATCTATCTGACTAAAAATACCTAACACTTTTATCAGAGAAGACCTGTTAAATATCAGATACCCCACATCGAACTACCTTTCTCCGATTTTTGTCAATGAAGAATGCTGTATGGACATTCTGATCAGAGGTGCAGCTGCAATCTACGGGATCTGGAAGAAACGATGGCACACAACAGCTCCTGGCCAAACACATAACTACTGCAGGTCTGTCAAACAACACTGCCCCCTCACCATCACCACCCTTCCCTCCAGCCCCCCACCTCTAATGATCTGTGAAAAGGATGTGCGTGGCCTCTTTAAAAAACAAAGGATCAGAAAGGCACCAGGCCCAGACGGTGTGACCCCCTCCTGCCTGAAAGTGTTTGCTGATCAGCTGGCCTCCATCTTCACACTCATCTTCAACAGGTCACTGGAGCTGTGTGAAGTCTCCTCCCGCTTCAAACGCTCCACCATCATCCCAGTCCTCAAGAAGACCTCCATCAGTAGACAGAGCAACTACAGACCTGTCACCCTGACATCTGTAGTTATGAAGTCCTTTGAAAAACTGGTGTTGGCCCACCTGAAGGACATTGTAGACCCCCTGCTGGACCCCTGCAGTTTGCCTACCGGGCAAACAGGGCAGTGGACAGTGCAGTTAACATGGCACTGCATTACATCTTGCAACAGCTCGACTCCCCAGGGACCTATGCACGGGCCCCTTTTTCTGGACTTCAGCTTGGTATTCAACACCATCATCCCAGACATCCTCCACTCCAAACTGACCCAGCTCACTGTGCCTGCCCCCACCTATCACCCAGCTCACTGTGCCTGCCCCCACCTATCAATGGATTAGTAGCTTTCTGACAGACAGGAAGCAGCAGGTGAGGCTGGGGAAAACCATGTCAAGCACCCGGACAATAAGCACAGGCGCCCCTCAGGGATGTGTGCTCTCCACACTGCTGTTTTCACTCTACACCAACGATTGCATCTCAAAGGACCCCTCTGTCAAGCTCCTAAAGTTTGCAAATGACACAATGGTCATTGGTCTCATCTGAGACAGTGATGAGTCAGCCTACAGATGGGAGGTTGAGCAGCTGGTCCTGTGGTGTAGCCACAACAATCTGGAGCTGAACATGCCCAAAACAGTGGAGATGACAGTGGACTTCAGGAAGAGCCCCCACACCACACCCCCCCTCGTCGTACTTGGCAGCACTGTATCAGCAGTAAAGTCCCAGGACCTGAAGTGGACGTCCAACATCAGGACCATCATCAAGAAGGCACAGCAGAGGATGTACTTCCTGCGCCAGTTCAGGAAGTTTGACCTGCCTCAGGAGCTGCTGATACAGTTCTACAGAGGAATCATCAAGTCTGTTCTCTGCACCTCCATCACTGTCTGGTTTGGTTCAGCAACCAAACAGGACAAGTACACACTCCAGCGGACAGTCAGGACTGCAGAAAAGGTCATTGGTGCAAGCTTGCCCTCCATGGAGGACCTGTACACCTCATGGGTCAAAAGGAGAGTGGAGAGGATCACTGCAGACCCCTCACACCCAGGACATAATCTGTCCAAACTCCTCCCCTCTGGACGGCGTTACAGGTCACTGTACACCAAGACAACCAGCCACAAGTTCAGTTTCTTCTCCCAGGCTGTCACTCTGATGAACACTTGACCCATGACAGTATGACTGGACAATAACCCTCAGTGCAATACCTGTAAATGTACAGACTATACAGATCCATACAGGTCTTTATTTTTTAAGTACTCTATTTTTATTCCTATTTATCTCATTTCACAATGAGCATTCCTTTGTCTGTCTGCATTGTTTACTGCCTGTTTATACTGCTTATTGTGCTATTACACAGCCTTATGTTGGTTTTCTGTTTACTTGCCCCTTGCATGGGGATATGTACATGCACATTGAGAGCCGATGTACCAGTGTCAAATTCCTTGTGTGTCCGACACACCTGGCCAATAAAGCGTATTCTGATTCTGATTCTGAGCCCTGGGTATCTTAACCAAGGAAATCAAGCCCCTCTTCCAACCATCTGCTTCTTCTCACTGAACCAATTTGCTAGCTTGTTGCTCCTTCACGTTTCAGCTGAGCTGACTGCCAGCTAGTTATGGCAATACAGTAATCTAACTGTTCTGTTTGTCATTCAGGAGGATGCAGCCAAGCCAAAGATTCTTTCCTCACAGAGATTATCTCCAAAGTGGTGTTTCCTTGACTGTAAGTACATTACACTGTTAGAAATGTACTTTTTTCATTAGGATCTTTTTTCAAGTTAGGATCCCATGTGCCTGATGTATAGACAAGAACAGCAAAACTGCATGCATTTACTTGTACTGTAAGTGTAATTCAATAAGGCATATGTTTGTATTTTTATCAAAAACAAGACAAGTCTGTTCTTCACCCCAGACAAAGAATGAAGCCTCTCTATCAGCTAGTGTATCACATTGAGATGACAGAAGAGACTGTTTGTCACTGTGGTGCTAAATTATCCCAGCAACACAACAGTGATAAACTCTGTAGGTGCAAATTGAGTATTCAAAACAGTCTCATGAATTCAGTCTCATAAAAACTGCCTTATCATATCATAAATTATTAATCTTAAATAATAAATACAAAATATTAAAGTACAAACTTTGTTATAATGATATTACAAACAGGTTTACTGTTAACTGTTACAACTAGACCTCTCTCTCCAAAGTATTATGCAAGAGACGTATCACTAGTATTTCAGTAAAATTTGATTTTCCTTGTAAAGTGCTTGCTTTACTTTATTCATCACATATTGCTGGATAACTGGTATCAATCTCAAACACTTATTAATTTGTCTCATGCAGCATGGGGAAGAAGAAAGAGCTGTGTAAAGATGGAAACAGTGAAATAATGCAACTCCTTGCAAAAGGGCATGAAAACCACTGATATTTCATGACAGCAGAGGAAAGATCATCAAACTGTGAAAAGATTTATGAGCGATTCAGAGCACAGATGAATCTGGTCAGATAAAGGCTTATTATGAAATGTTCGTCAAGCAGATGTATAGTATTAAAGGGCACCTATAAAAAAAGCCATTGTTAAGCTTGAAAGAACCCATCAATGCAGGATCCTCCAGCACTCAGCAGTTGTGCATAAAGCTGCATTTTTGCCACCCCTAACTAAAGCTCACAAAGAGAAACATTTGCAGTGTGTTCTGGAATACATGAAGACTAATTTTCCAGCTGTTTTATTGATCGATGAATGCTGTGCTACACTGGATGGTCTAGATGGATGGAATTCAGGATGGTTGTGAGTGTGATGTCAGCAAGGATGAGGTGGAGTGATGATCTGGCCTGGAATACGGGGAAGTGAGATGGTGGTTCCCTTTAGAAACGTATGTGTCTGATGTTTGGAGAGGGTTGTGTTAGGTAATTTCTTAGATAGATATTGATTAGAGATCTGTTGTATTAGAAGATGTTAGTGTAGCCAGGATGTCTTCCTCAGGCTGTTAAATGCAAGGTTAGTTAAAGCAGAGAAAGGCTGCCGTCAGGGATAAATGTTATTATGACGGTAAAAGTGACCATAATATTTGTCTTAATGTGTAATGTTATGTCAAATTGTTTTAGATACACACCACGAAAACAACAGCCACACACCTTGACTTTTCCTCATGTTTTGGCTAACGTTATAGCCAGCTGCAAAGCTGGTGAGAGAGAGACGTCTCGGTTGACGTTTCTGTGGAGGAGGGGGCGAGCCAACTAAGTGATGATATTGTATAGCAATTCT